ATCTTATAAATATTCTTAATTACAAAAGTGAATTATTTAATATGAAAAATAGTCAGTCTCAGGTCAGTCCAGCAAGCGCCTTTTCCGCCTCTTTCCATCTCCGTCGCTCTCCTGTATGTTTGCCTTTCTTCTCCTTATCGATCTTGATTCCCTCAGACAAACAAGGGCACTCCGCAGGATGGCAAAGGAGACCTTCGTCCTTATCCATGCAATTGTCGTGGCGTAGTCCTCCCGTTTCTTGGAAGAGATGAGCTCGGCCAGTCTGTAGTGGTACCGCTGACATTTCTCTGACATACCTTCTGTGGTGGTAAAGACCAGGGATGTGTGCCTTGTTCGACTTCTATGACCCGGGATGCGTACTTTCGCTTCTTCTCATCTTCGTGCAGTTTGTACACTTGTTTTGGGCTTATCTATTTATACGAGTCCGCATTAAGGTGACATACCCGTATATCAAAGAATGCGGTCCCCGTTGTCTTTCCCAAAATATGCGGCAATCATCATCATCATCTTTGTAAAATCACGCAGTCATGCAGATATTTGCTTAGACTATTCATGCCCGCAATATTCTGTTTTCATGTAGCAAAAATGTCTGAAGTTGAAATAAACATATAACAATAATATCCTATTATATAATATTATTTATCCTGATTTTTTAAGAAACACGATCAGCTGGACATAATAAAACAGGTAGTATGAACCGGTGATCAGCAATGTTTATGGCACGAGCTGAATGAGCTTGGACCTTTTTAAAAAATTAATTAAAGCTCTGAAGTAACAGCGTGTGTCGATATCTTTTTACCCAAACAAGACATTCTACCTACTCCTATTTTAACAAGTAATAGTTCAAACACTGCGAATTTTTCCCGATTTTTTTTTTTTTTCTTTTAATTTTCTATTTTGGTGGACTAATTCTACAAATGTATATTCTTTAGTTTGTCGTATTATTTAGCGCTTGAATAAGCGAGTAGAGTGCATACCGTATATCCGTGAAAAACGAAAGAAATTGTATATATGTTCACAAATTAGCAAGTTTAATAGACCTCAGTAGACTGTAGACCTACGAAACTTTAAATTCTTAAGTTAGTACAATTTATTTCAGTTAATTTTATCATTAAGAGTTTTAGCCCCCGACTTYAAGCTATTTACATATGCATTAGGCCATTAGAGTATTTGTCCATTATTAATTTTCCATTCTATTCAATGAATGGCTGTAGAAGCTGCTCTCTTTACTTATCCTTGATTGACGTCTAATAGTACTTTCTCTCCGCAGTAGCTACAGCCTAAAGTTTAATTTACATTTGTCAATTCTTCGGAACACCTTTTTCAGATAAACTTTATTTTCAATCAATGGCATTTTAGAAATCAAAATTTAAAAATAAGCAGCTTGAAAACAAAAGTTTCGTGTTTGATTGACGGCAGTCTATTGCAAAGTGCACGTCGCGATTTTTGTCTGGGGTGGCCGCTTAGCAATGCAAACGCCGGTAATAGTAAAATTTTTGGCCATCGTATTTTTCAAGCTCTTCTGGTTACTAGACGGACAAGCTGCCCCTGGCTTGGAGGACAACTTTAGAACTATATTCATTCTCTGCGGAATAAATATGCTCTGTTAAGTACATCTATTCCAAAGAACGTTGTCTTCGCCAAAGGCGATAGGCGATAGGTCATTCTCGACATGGAAAAGGTTTCTTTGAATACAAAGAACATCGAATCAGTCTCAACACTAAGGTTCATGTTCTTAACGAAAATATGAAGCAGAAACACAAGTCATTCCAGCTATTCTTGGATCGCTTTTCGCCTATCTCCTATTCCCTATATCGCCTTTTGAAGATGACAACCTTTTTTGAAATAGGTATATATATATAGTCTAAAGGACTGTTTCTTTGAGTTGCTTAGCATCTGGCCAGGTYTTTGGAGAGAACGGCGTTGCAACATTAAACGATCTCTTTCGTTTATCGTTGGTGACTTTGGTGTGAGCATCGCTTTTTGAAGGTAGCCTTGATAGTATGGAATGTTCTCTTCTTAAGATCAACTTAATGAAGGCACTTCGGAATTCTCTACTCACAACAGAGTATATAATAGGGTTGGCAGCAGAATTGGCTATCGTCATGATGACCATGGTGTTATAAAAAGTCCAGAAATGATGAATGGAAGGTAGAGGTTTCCAGAAMACAACAAGTAATCGAAATACACTGACTGGCAGCATTGTAACTGCAAAGGTGACAACGATAGGCGTCAGGATCTTTTTGGCGCGAGCGTTTTCATTCAGTCTTTTGTGAATCTTGTTGTTAGAGGAGCCGCCCGCTTCTCTGTCAAGGCTTTGGTGAAACAAATTGCTCATACGAATTTCCCGCCATATCCCGACGTAAGTCCATGAGATGACAGCCAACGGTAAAACATAAGAGAAGACAATTAGACTGACCGTATAGGTCGCGCTGAGGGATTTGTGAGGTGCTTTTTCCCAGGCGGGCCAACAGTGGATTTTATTGTTTTYAGTGTCTTCAAAATACGTAAAGATGAAGAAAAGAGGAAATGAAGCGATGAGGAAAGAAACTAGCCAGATCAAGAGAAGGTTACAGATGATCTGCCTTGTCGAACTACTTTCCCCATGAATACCTTTTCCTTTGACTACTATTTTTCTGTACCTCTGGAATGCAATCGACGTGATGAACCATATSGAAGCCCCATAGAAAGTGTCTACGAATGGGTAGATATAAAGGCAGACGATCCTACCAAATGGCCAGTATCCTGGGATTCTCTCTCTGACTACTGCAATTGGAAAGATGACAGTCAGCACTCCAATGTCTGCAAGCGCCAGGTTCAACAGATAATAATGCATGGACGCTCTTCCTCGAAGGCGTTTCGAAGCGATCACGATACAAACTAAAATGTTCCCTACGACACCGGCCAACGCTATGGCTGTCTCAAAAGACAGTCTTGTTATTACTAGTCCTAGTGATTCTTTGTAGTAATCTGGAATCTTTGGGACAATGGATCCGTTCTGAGATAGATTCATTTTCAATCCCGCGTCTCGTGGTGGCTAATTGTTCTTCTTCMAGGTTTCTCTTGACTTTATGTCGTATCTCCCAGCTCCTTGCTCTTAACGGCACGAGTTGTTTGGCCACGATGTACTAAGCYTCTTCACTATCTTCTGTGTAACGGAAGAACAAAAATAAACACTGTAAGTGACAGAATAGCAAAGAGCGCATAAATAACTAAAGCTAGACCTTTCGGCAGAGTAGCTCAGTACCTTCACCAACATTCTAAAAGAATGCACTGGTGGCTGCGTTCATTATTATCATTCTGTTGAAGGCAGCCGGCCATCAATGTAATCGAAACGTCTACCTAATTCATTCCCCTATTTATACACGTGAAAAAGGAATTGAATAAGGAAATTTACTTAGGCTATATAAAGTGCTGTATAGTTAAAAAACGTGATTCGACTTGCCTTATGAAGGCGTGATCATTTGAGATTCACCACATATTTTAAACAACAGTAAGCCTAACAGTGTTTGTGTTTTTATAGCTTAGCAGGGATCGATATATCGTGTCTTAGACACCAAAGGTCACACAGGATATAGTTGTAATTATAAATTTTATCTTCAAGTCACTTGAAGTATAGCCAGATTTAATCTGTATACTCTGTTCTTTCGTCTCTCAAACCAGACACAAAAAGCAAATATAGTTTGTCAACCGAAACGTCTTTTGAAATATTTCCTTGRCGGAAACATTCGTTTCATCACATCATAAATCTACAAAAAATATAAAATAATAGTTTAATTAAGTCTATTTGTCCTAACAGATCTTTTGTTTTTGTTAATCCCAGTAGGTCTGGGCGATAAATAGTCTAGAAACACTGACGTTCAAAGGTCAAGGATACTTAAACATTGCTGGCCAAATGGTATGGTTATTACATGATATCTAACACATGAGTAGCAACTATGACTTCTGCTTGATAAAAAGAATACGAAAAGGTAAATGATAACCGACAGAGGCTATTAAATGGGCAGTTTAGGGCAGGGCGCGATTTATCGCCGTAGTCAAAGTGTCGGTAATCCATACTACCACAAAAAGCCGAATATGGGAAGAATTAATGCACTCTCTTCGCAGAATCAAAATGATATCTTCGATGCCTTCATTACCCCGATAACAGTCAGCGTTATGGATTTCATATGTTACGCTCCTTCAGCCGAGAAGATTTCATCTCGTTAACCTTGATTCATTATACACATTCACTTATTAAAGAATCAAGGATAATCAATTCATGCCTTAATGCGGTTGTGCTTTCCTCATTTAGGTGAAGGATTGATGTTTGGATATGATTATGATTATGGTATTTATATAGCGCTCTTTTCAATATGGATACAGCTATTTCAAAAAAGGTTGAATATTGAATCCTGCATACTGAATAGTACATTCCAAGAACAAAGTGCATTGTGGGTCGGTTACATATTGTCTAAAGTAGGATTAATAATAATTGTGGTCCTCCTAGCCAGTGAAGGTCTAACCGTTTGCAAAGGCAGCACCTTCTCCTCAGTTATTTAAGACTCTGAGTGTTGGCTTGAACCACGATCTCCCGCACAACAGACCAACGCTCTTACCAACTGAGCTACGAATGGATACAAACTTAATCGTTAATCGTTATTCCTTTTTTTTTTTTTTTTTTTTTTTTTTTTTTTTTTTTTTTTTTTTTTTTTTTTTTTTTTTTGCCTATTAAAGACGTGAGCAAAGAAAAAATGCTTTGGTAACCAAGTAACCATAATTATTAATACTGAAAACTGCCCACTTTGTATCAAAAAGTAGTTTGGATTATAATCAATGCTCCGCATTTTGCCTCTTACATCATGCATATGGAAGAACAATTCGTTAGACAAAATATTTACAAGAAAAGAAAAAAAATCAACGCATGATAAATTTCTGTGCGTGAAACATACATACGTCATCATTGAGCGGGAGTCTTTTATTTTTACTTATGACAGCCACGTTTTTTTACGTTTGAACTGAGCTATTGAAATGTTCGTCTAAACACAACGCATGCACCGAGTACTGAGGACTTTTAGAGTGAATTGTGGTGCGTGCGTTTATAACATCCGCGGTAGAGATCTGTACGATTGAAGACCTCAAATCTTAAGGACGCCCGGAATTGAAATCAATAAAGTTTATAAWTGCCTTATGAGTGAAGTCGAGATAAGACACGAAAACTCTTTCGAAGTTTATATTAGCGTACGTGGACAGAGTGATTACAATTACATTTCTATTTATGACATTCGTCGGCATTGTTTGTGCGCATCGATCTGTTCTGCGCATATCATAAAATTCGAGCAAAAAGCTACAAGATGTTTGTATGTATTCGTAAATATTTTCAAGAATCGTCTAGCAATCCATTTAGTTCTTCTACAAAACAATTGATTGTGCCGCGCGAGAAATATTTTGACGAAAGAAGGTTACACTAGTTTGCTATCATCTCACTCCTCAGTGAGTGCGGTGATCTGACAAGAACTTTTTATTTGCTAATCCAACTTCTATAATAATCTAATTTCGCCAAGCGAAGCTTGAGGGGGAAACATGGTAAACGCATTTGCRCGCGAAAAGTATGTGAACAATCAATGCACACAGTGAAAATACCGTAAGGACATAACGTCATCCACTTACAGCATTTCCAGAGCAATAGCTTATCAGAATTTTTTATAGATACGGCACGTCCTTGCGGTAAACTTTTCATTATAAAGTCATAAAAAATCTGCACTTTGAAATAGCAAGTTACGTGTGCGTGTTTCTGTGAACATAAATCTGTGTCTTTAGCTCAGTATAGAAAATACTAGYTTTTACCGCTCTACGATAACTGGAATAGTCTGATAGACATAGAAAAAGACTGCAACCAAAATGTAACCTGTATTAATGTGTTATTTTCGTTATCTACTTCATTAAAAAGCTCTTTTATTCCATATTTTTATCAGCAAAGGGCCAAAAATTTTATTGAACATTTCTATTGCCAAGCAAATTATATCCACTTCATAATCAAGTTGTAAAAGATAATTGTTTAGATTCAATGAATGATATACCTCAGTACTGCATTAGAAAGCTCTTTTATTCATATTTTTATGTCATCAAATGGACAAAAATTTAGAACATTTTTTCAACGCTCATTATATCTACTTCATAACCAAATTGTAGTTGATAATTGTTTCATATTAGCCCGGTTAAGTAAATGATTTACTTTTCTAATCGTACGGCCATCAATCTTCATGTCAAAAAGGCCTGATGATACGATTGTATAATACGTACCAAAACTGCTTCGATAGAATGAATCGTCGAAGCGGTCTTTGTGAAGTTTTGCTGATAAAAGGGAATATCTTTTGTGATGACGCTAATTAATTTATTTAAAAGCTAACAGCTACAAACTTATCGCGTATGTGACTTAATGCATMGCGACCTGTGAGATAATTACATGTCTTACATCAGTAGCTGTGGCGTGGACGAGAAAGAGATTGTCTGGGGATCCTAGCGAGGAAGGTAATCCATTTGGCAGTAAAGAGAAAAAGCTTTTTTGTTAGAAGTTTTTCAACGTTCATGTATCTGCGCAAGCGCTGTCGGTAAATAAAACGATAATATGCAAGCGAAAAGGCGGGATCTTATAGTGAGTGTTGGATTCCAAAGTAAGGGAGGTATAATAACTATCCTTTGAATTCCTCAGTACTGAAGAATTACCGGYAAAAGACGCATGCATCTCAACTGGATGTCAAAGACGTGTATATAAAAGCACGAGGCTACCACGACGCTGTCTGACCTTAAAACACAGCTCWTGCATGGAGTTTGATAGGTCCGATATCGAGTATATCAARAAGAGAATAGACCTTTTCTGAGATRACGAACATGCTGCATTGTAGTCTAGCTTYGGTACAAACATATCTRAATCAAGTGTTTAACGTGYGTGMTTAGTTCATTAGTTGATGACTGGTAAGACAGCCATRCATCCGTCCTGCGATAAATGTCAAGCAAAAAATCCAGCTATTTTGCACGCTCTATATAATGCTTGGTCACACCTTCGCGTCTGCGAGTCATTAGTTCCACATCGTATTTTTCTTCGCACATTYTTACTGACGAGCGCCAATAGTGCAAGTTACCACTACTATGGATATAACTAGAGTCGTAGCTGACCARAAAATCTATCGTGAGAGTTTTTTGTTCTGTGTTTTTGACGTAATCATTTTGTCAATTTTTTTAATTCGTTTCAAATTCTTTTAAGTTTCGTATTGAAAGCTGGATAGCCAGACAGACAGAAAGACAGACTTTTTTATTCRGTATCGAGTATTAGGATATACATTGACATTTTACCCGAATAAACATTAACGTATGAAGGCTATAATTGTTGATTTATAGTAGTTTTTCTTATGTTATAATAGATTCACCTGGATAGCTGTTTGTTACAGCCAATCACCCCGCGCGCGAAATCGTACGATTTGCTGTCGTGACAAACTTTTGGCGATTCTCGGCAGAGAAAATTTCTGTCTGCGATGAATCGTCAACGAGGGAGACTATGCTAGCAGGGAAGGGAAGACAGCTTTGAGCGCCAGCACTGAGTTAATAGAGAGGACTCCAGCACAGACAGACAGACGGACTCAAGGACAGAKAAATTTTGACCCCGTTTCGAAACTGTAATCCTCGAGCGCGGACCAGGGCACGATCATGTTATCGTGATCATCAGAACCATAAATTAGACAAAAAGAAAATAAAACGTGAGGGAAAAATAGGAGGTCGAAAAAATCTTGCGAGTGACCGAAAAAAACATGGACACGAAAACAACAGATTAGAGCGCGCAAATTGTAAAGCACTGATAAAGCACTCACAACCAGACATGAGAGAACAAATGATGGTGATGCATCACATTTCACCTGCTCAGGCTCTCGGGAACTCAAATGTAAAGYAAACAGAATTTGGAGCAAATCATAAAATTCATAATTACTTCGTGTCTCRCTCGAAGGACGGAAAAAGCATGGCCTTCGAGGCGAATGGTCGTATCTGCGTGAACTGTTAGTGTAGTACAAGGCAATACAGTCAAATCAGACTCAGGGGTCCGGTTGTACGAAGAGTGGATAGCGCCATTCAACGAATAAATCTTATCCAATGGATAAAGTGACGYTGTTATCCAATAAATATATTCAATGGATAAGATTTATCCGTCGGATAGGCCATGTCCAGGCCTTAATTCATACAAATTTCAGAATGTCATATCCTCGACAGTCAAATGTTGGAAAATTGCAAATACTAATTCTGACTAACCTGTTAGCTTTGTATTAAATAGATAAGGCAGTATTGAATAGAATGAAATGGTGAAAATGTCGGTACCAATATAATAGACTTTTGGTTTGAACAGAAGTGACCGATATGCTCAGTAATTAGTTTATTGATTCGCAAAAGTGAGACCGCTGAGAGTACTASGATGTTTGGTGTTGATTAGATGACGTCACTGACACCTTTAAAGATTCGTAGAAATCTTATTTTTCTCTACGGAATATAAAGAAGAAATCTTAACCAGTGATTATTAGAACTTCAAAGATCATTCCAGCCWAGTTCAAGCTGAATTGAATCTCGGACGACTTTAGTGATACTCTTCCTTTAGCACAGAGTACCATCCAGGTGTCCGGTGCGCATAGAAACCGACCAATCACAGCACGCTTCGATGCTTAGCCGAGCGGTCCTAGCTCTACATCTCTTACAATTAGAAAAACACGCGTTTTAAAAACATTTAGAGAAATAAAGTTGAAGTATACATGATGTAATAAAAATTTAAAAAAAAAATCTTTGCCGTTCATCTCCTCGAATTCCGAGAGAGATGTGACTTTTAAGAATTCAGCGAAGGCCACTCGAAATACAACAACGATTCTTTTAGCGCTCATTTTTTCGTTCAGCTGGATGCAATAGTCTTGCAATAGAGAAAGGGGAATAAAGGACGCTGTAAGATAACCATACYCTATCTCTTAACGATCGACTTGAATTCACCTACCTTCAATTGAAATCCTACGAATTTCTCTTTGATCCATGTCACACTTCTGCAGCACCACAGCAACACCACAGCAACTCAACAAAATGAAATCTTGAAATTCCAACTATGCCTTTTTGGCTTAGAAAATATTTTTTTCGGAACTCAACCTTCGACTAAAGTTTTCCACTACTACTGCAATTATAACCCTACAACTATGCGCAATTCTCCCGTCTTTATTGCATACACAAACAATCTAATACCTACGTATKTAAAAGCCACAATCGTATTAAGGACGCGAAATTTTAGTGCTGTAAGAGTAATTGCGGTATTGCAAGGTGATGTATTTGCGCGTGTGACAAATTAGTCAATGGGGGAGGGGAGAATAGAAAAAGATGGTGTCGTGAACCCTTTTGGGCGGTTAATTTTTACAGCTTCACTAAGCACACTCTAAGAGTTTTCAAGTTCTAGATAAAGTAAAATCGAGCGAAGAAAAAACTGGACTTTTACTTAAAAGTTGAAGAATTGAATTTGAATTTCCACGGAGCCACCATTGATGTTTTAGAGTACGAAACACAAATTACTATTATTATCATAAATTTTTGTAGCCAAAATGTCTGCCACTAGTGCTCCAATATACAGCTCCTAAAATCCTCCACAAAACATAAATCTGATTGACTTCGGGAAAGCCCCACATGATGAACTAATATCGCACAGTAAGTATTGTATTCTATTACGTTTATTCGTTTTAAGTTCAAAGGTTTCCATAAAACAGGCTATGTCGCCGCCCAGTCTGATGCAGTATTGATCGGCGGGACTTCTTTGAATGTGAAACAAACCTCAACTTCATCATTGGACATTTTTAGTCATAAAGTTTATCATTTCAAATTTGTCGGAAAAAACTTCAGCACCGCAAAACATACCGCGCTCTTTCGGCTGCTCTCTCTCCGATGAGGTGAAAAAAATTCTAAGCYGCATCAGATTTATACGAGCACGTTTTGCTTGACACGTTGTATATGCTCATGTAGATAATGATATAATGATATAATAATATGATAATAGGGGATTAACAGTGACACAGATGAGATCTTCTCTCCGTTGGTCTAATTGGAATTTAGAAGTTGACTTTTGCGGAGGAAGACAAAAACCGGAGAACTGGCCGAGAAAAACCCGACTCGAGGTACAGGAGAGAACCAACAAGCAACTCTACGAACATACGACATTGAGCCAGGAATTGAACCTGCGTCGCTCTCAACTCGATCTAAGCCGTCGTTCTTCCCATGAAAAAAGGTGCACGTTTTTCCTTGTCAAAGTTGTCAAGGCAACTAACTTGATCTCTAATGTGCTCGTGTAGACGGAGAACAAGGAAAATCTAGCAAGGAATATTTATGAGTTACCGCCCCCAGTACTTTGCTTTGTTATATCATTGAACATGGCTGCTATCTTTTGTTATTTCGTTATTGTATATGGCCCATTTTCAATCGAAATTTATAGATATCAGTAATTCATGATAACCATCCAATGATTGAATGATAATAATAATAATAATAATAATAATAATGATAATAGTTATTATTATTATCATCATCTTCATCATTAATATTATTATATTATTACTACTACAACTACTACAACTACAACATATATTAATTAATAACATTAAAAATAAATTAATAAAGTTATTAGTAGCAAACATATTTATTAAAGAGTAATAAATATTCCAAATAATGAGTATGAACATTTTCACTGGTCAACCTTTCAAGTATTCCTAATATAACTGAATACCCCTGACAGAAGACAAGCTTAACACGAGCGAGCCGTTCTATTGCATTAAGGATCTTGTAACCATCGCAGGTAACTTTAATAACGTATTGTTAATTAGTTTTCACAGCCTTCACCGAAATAATAATCTTTACTTTGAATAGCAATTGGCAGTTTTGTTGTATCCAATAATTTATTCATATCTTTGGGGCGAAATCTTGCAGGAACGCTCAGTCGAAAAACGTCATTGTTATTGTTACTAGGTAACGGAAAGCAAGTAATTTTATAGGGCTTTTAAGTATGACGTCAAACGTGCAGAGAAGCCTCTTCCGTATTTGAAACGAAAATCGGCAGTTCTATGAAGATTTTTCTATGATAGGACCTTGTGTCCAGAGTTTTAATTTTTTTTTTTAGACGGTGGAAAGTAAACACTGAGAAGAATTTTTTCGCTTCATCTTAGCGCGGGTTTTTGTGAAAAGTTGAACCCTGAAATACGTTACAACTTGTAAGAGGTTTAATACTAGAAGCAGAGAGTCAAAGTTTGTCGAATGGTGCTATTACAGGCAGATGTTGAAAATTCTTTACGCATGCAATGTGCGAAATGCCTAAGAGATCAAGGTCATGTTGCATATGACATTTTGAGCCTTAATTGCTAAAACTAGAAGCTTATTATTTGTGTTTTCTTTCTTGAATCATTCCAGTTTTTTGCTATTACTACGTAGGAATAAACTTTTTAATATTTAACATTTTGTCTATTGAAAAATTAATGATCTTTGCAGAAGGTGTTGAGTGTTTTGCTCTAAGGATCGTGATTCAACCAATCATTCAATGTTGCCAACGAACGCTTACAAAGCAAAGAACMGTTTTTATTTTGATATGTTTATAACTTCAAAAGATTTATGGAAACAGCCTCAATGCACCGAAATGAGTTTCGGTCACAGAACGTCATTATATCTTTGCTCTGAAAATTATTATTTCGTTAGAATCACTCGACTATTCCTTTCTTCTTCTTTTTTTTTTGTTTTTAATGTTTAATTAATGGGATTTACTTTTTCGGTGTCAGTGAAACACCTAGACAGATTCATAAACCGCATCTATGTACTCAGAGTATCTGAGGATAATTTTTACCATGTTTTAAGTCGGGATGAAAGACGACCAGTCATTCATTAAGCCAAATGCAATTTTGCTTCTTTTACGAGGTTTACAAAATTGTCAAATTTTAATCTCTTCTTGGACGTCATTTATGTGTTTTTTTTATTTATGTCTAATGCGAATAACAGCAGACGCAGATTCTACTAAAATCCTTCCTCTGTGAAGGATTAACAATATGAAGTCGAAGTCAATGTAGGAAATTAATTCTTCGTTTTACTGATTGCAGAAAAAAMATTTCCCATGGTGTCAGCGTTGTGRAAAATTGTATACGAAACCGATAAATTTAAACACTTAACTCGTCGTTTTTGTGGTCTMTAGATGACCGCAKWCGTTTGTTAGGTTTCTCTAAGTGTTTACTAACATTGAATGTATGTACTATCGATGAATGAAACAGCATTACAAATAAAAAAACATAAAAGCTTGGAGATTTAGTTTACTTAACATCGTGACACAAACACATCTCACCTTTTGTTGTGGTGYATTCGTAGCAAATTTCTTCTTAAATAATGACTTGTTACTCCTACCAGCAGATCTATTTCACTCGGATGTCCGTCCAGCAACCCTTTGTTGCAAAGTCTCAGGTTGATCACCTATTTGAGAGAGCAGAGGATGTTAAACCAAGATGGCAYGACGGGATTGATGACAAGCGGAAGACGTTGTTAAAGGCTTTAGAACTTTAGAACTTTCCATCCACAAAGATAACAAGCTTCCTTCCAACTTCCCTAACGATTTTTAGGAAGTCTTTCAGGTTTCGAGTTTATATTTCCCCCTCAAATAAGATGCAAGACGGGAAGGATAATGTACTAAAGTACAGCTCCAGCGTARCTTTGTATACGATTCAAGTTTGTAATTGACAATCAAGACACAATATATGTGTTGACACCATTTGCCTCGTGCAAAAAGAAACTCTTTCAAATAAATAGYACTTAGAGTAATGAATTAAAAGCAACTTGAACAGTAAGACGGGTTTAATAGCAATTCCTATTGGATCTTGAACTTCACAACTTTAAGCCAATCACAGACATAGATCGACGAACGTCAGAGGAAACTAAAGTGAAACTCGAAGGACAAAATGAAGTTGAACTGAATTAAAACTAAAATAAATTCATCATCTTTTCCTTTTGTTTATTTAGCAGACAGACTTTGACACAGGTGCATTAACAATTTACACACATATACAAACATTTCATTTATGATCTATAAATGTAATTCCCTTTAAGTTCAAAGTTTTATTCTTCACCGATACTAAATAAATAGTTCACTCGAAACTCGAGTGGAAAGATTAAAAGAGAAAGAATAACACAGTTAGCAGCTCCAGGGGTTGTTATTGTGTAAAACAATTCATGTGTTAAAGCAAAACAAATCTCTTGTAYCTCCAATACCTTTTAATTACTACTCCAAAGAAAATATATCACGTTATGAAGCTTCTAAGTACCCAAAAGTCAAAACATTCTTCCCTATTTTAAGTAATTCAAAGTGGATTTTTCCTTATTTTACAAAAAGACGAGAACAAAACATTTCAAGTTCATTTATTGCATTTTATTAMAGCAGTTTTAAAAGTTCTGAGAGCGAATCTCAGTTTTTGTCAGACTCAGCTGATAGAGGGGCAGATTGACTGCAAAACAGTGCCTTTATGTTTCTATTCTGTTTCATACTATTTAAAAAAAGACGTTAAGGAGTCAAGGATTAAGCATCCTATTTTTCGTAAATATAAAACCGGAATTTTGTTTCTTTGTGCCTGGGTACCTTAAGTGCCCGCAGACGGGTTTCCCAATTGGTGTTTGTTATAGCATCTTTAGGATTATTAGCCCTGAGTATGTCCATCACTGRGGCTTATTGACGTGTCGACTAAGGTTATTTTGCCATAATCTCCGGTATCATCGATAAAAATCTTATTAGCCGAGATTTTAGTTGTAGCTTTTGTAGTTTCCTTTCGAAATAAAAGAACAGTATTTTTGTGTGCATTTTGATACCCATTTTTAATAAGTTCAATCTTTTGCTAGCTTTTGTGGGTTATAGAAGAAAAAAGAAAAAGAAATCACCCTTTTGTCGTCCTCTCGCCTTGTCCTACAATTCTCCTCCCCCCTCTCCCTCACCCAAAATACGGCATTCAGCTCCACACTGACTGCCCTTCTTTCTTAAAAGAATAGTCCCCCAGCGAATTGAAAAAGACCATAAATTATTGACAGTGATTAAATATAGCCGTTGTAGTTTGTGAGCTATGATGTGGCCATCAGTACGGTTGGCCAGGTTTTAACAAAACGCTTTTCCCCCTCGTCCGAACCATTTCCCCTAATTAAAAAAGGGAAAGATTGGAGAAAGCGTTTTCCGTTCCTTTATAAATGTCTAAATGCACTATCTAAATGGTCGCTACAGCCCTGATTAGACTGCGAATTTTGCCGTTTCAACACCAAGATTTCTCCGGCTTTACATTATTTTAGATAGCTAAGTTCTTCCATATCGGACTAAATGGCCAAGATAAATAGCTTTCATTCTATCCTTTCAAGTCATTTTTCAATCTAGTACATTCTTTTTGGTTTACATTCATTAGCTTTTAAGCAAACTGAAGTCAAATCTGTTAAAAWAAGCTATATCATTATTCAACTTTATGTTATAGGAAACGTTATTTTATATGACCATCCGTACTTCAGTCCATCTGCGCAGCGTTGGTCTTGAGATATATGTATTATACGAACTCTCATCACCATTAAATTCATATTCATCATCTTGTTTGAGTTTCAAGTGTCGGATTTTACATAAACTTCACAACAACAGAAATAGCGAATGAATAAAGCGCTACTCACACTTATACTGAGAAGTGTAGAATTCTGTAACGGGAATCGAGGGAAGCGATGTGCTTATTTGMCGGGAAAGCAAACAAAMAAAAAAAAAAAAAACTGGTTCCGTGRCGGATTSGAACTTGTGAGGGTATATACTCAAAAACTCCACAACAACAGGAATATCGAGTAATCGGGTGCGGCCACTTGGACTTATAGAAAGGTAGAATTCTGTAACAAAAATCAAGGAAAGGCTTACCTAGTYCCCAGGAGAAAATACTGGGTCCATACCGGCTTGGAACTCATTCTCGCGAAGATATATGCCGCGGGATAGGCAAACTGTTAAGAACAGTTGATCTTGTTGATTTTTGAAAATTTGATTAGTGAAGAATGCTTTGAATCATAAGGTTTAATGATGATGTTAGTAAAAAAGGTCTTCTTTTATCGTGTTTGTTTAGGGTTGGGGATGCGATCTGGCCGTCTGCGGTCTGGCGGTCCGCGAGAATGAACCACTGAGAAGTGGATTGCAACAGAAATCAGTAACCTATGTAATATTGTCTCGTCATAACTTTCATGGTAAAGCACATTGACAGACCCTGATATTTTTGTTCTTCAAAGATATAAATGACAAAATAACACAATATGTAACAAAACCATTAGACACTATAGCCGATTCAATTACCCGATTTAATAAATATTAAATCCCGATGCCATTAAGGTACTGAGTAAGACGACCAATACATAGATACTTCCCTTCGAGTGTCTCAGCATTARAATTTATCCTTTATTCCACAACATCACAACTTTAAAAGTCTTTCAAGGCAAAAGGTGTAAAAAAATATGTTCCTGATTCATGTTTGTATCATTTTTGAGCGCTTGAAGGCATCCCCCTTCTCTTTACACGTTTCCTGGGSTAGTTCACAAGTTCCCGTTCCGTTTGGTGACAGACAAATTGAGCTTTAAGACTAATAACCATGACATTTTTCCGCTTACGCTGACAGGCCAAATGGAAAGCGATTCATTTGCTTAATAAAAAGTCACTAAAAGCCTCTATAAAGCCTCTTCCTAGACTCATGCATCTAGGAWAGGCAAGAGACAGTATTGTGCTACGTCATAAACAGCGTCTCTAAAAACTAAAATAACAGATTACAGGCAAAGCCAGCATAAACAGCCATTTTCTATTCCCACAGGTGGAATTTTTTTTTTTTTTCATTTAGCAAGCCTTTTTTCCCCAATTTTCAAACTTTAGAAATTAAGCCCTGCAAACTAAACTAAATTGTGTTTAGTTGTGTAACCGATGGTGATGGCATCGTGTACGTGCCAAAACTAAGTCGAAACTTTAATTCTTTTTATTTAATTCGTGGATTAACTTTATCAGATTTTCCCTTACAGAAAAAAAACCCATATTCTTCCTTTAAAAAACAAAAACAAAAATAAATAAATAAATAAAAAGCTAGGTCTTTGGGAAATGTATATATATATTTTTACAACTGGAGCAAGGTCTGAAGGTTGTTATCTCCTATTCTCACTGAAGCTGGCCAAGATAATGGAACTAAAAGGAAGTAAAAAGAAAAACAACAACAACAACAACAACACATACACACACACACACACACAAAATAAATAAATAAAAAAGGAAAGAAAGGAGGAAAGGAGGAAAGAAAGCATAGGAAAATAATTTGAAGAAAATAAAATAAAAACGTAACAGGGTTTTTTCTGATTGTTGTTATGGTGTTTCATCGGAGAAAAGTCCATAAAATGATTGTTAGAAAACCGTAACTAAAAACAACTTCTCATTTCTTGAGTTAAAAGAAATGCTTTTCTAGTTCATGAAGGATTCAAAAACCTTTTGGATTATCCCATCAAATGCGAGGATCCCCTTGACTTATTAATTTACTTATCTTCTATATGTTCCAGTTTTTAATATATATAAACCTGACTTTGGAAGTATTATCTTTCTTATGAATCTCCGGGGAAATCCTCTTAGAAATTCGAATGTCTGGGCCGCATTTCATATTAAAACCCGAACAATTATTTGTTTTTTAATTAAAAATCCTATATTTTCTACACAAATCGTTTTAAACTGTTGTATGCTGGTTAATAAGATGGATTCGTGGAACTTGTCTTGTATCGTCCGAAGACTTGAAAAAAATAATTCACGTATAGGTGGTACTGTTTGGTTGTGTTCCGGCATATAGAGTAACTAAATGASGTCAAGCTTGAGTATTTCGTTGAACGCCGTTTCTAGGACAAGTGGACCCCACTGCGAAATCAAAAATATTGCTCTGATCTCATGCCATTGAAAGTGATATTGGATCATTTTATGTTTAAAATAACTTACTTCAACGCTAGCTAACGCTCTGAAATGGAAACCAACTAAAAARAAATCGTATAATTCAGTGAATAGAAACGAAACGCATCGAAAAAATCCGCCATTTTTGGACATTTTGCTTTGATAATCTTGCAACATTAAGCTTGAATCTAACTCCGTTTTTTTTTTTTTACACGAAAAGGTCAACTGATAACGAGGATTAAATTCAGAGAATTAAAACTTTTCTGATAATAATTCAATACTTAGCAAGAGACGTTTGTTTCGAGAAATGTTTCGTACCAAAAAAAAGAAAGAAAAAGAAAAAACAGATTTACCCGCAAACAAGAATTGGTTTGGCTCTTTTTATGAGTTAAAGTTTACTTAAAATTATTCCTGGAATTTGGATTGTTATTTTGAAAGTAAAGACCTAAGAAATATTTTTTTCTTACCGTTCATAGGAACCGCAGGGTTGGCGTCTCTTGCTCTTCTCAGTTCTCTTCAGAAAGATGTGTCCAAGACAACAGCAAAATCGTTGGGAACAGTAGTTTGCTTATCTGTCGAGTAATTGCAGAAGAAAATAAACAATGTAGACACAGATAACTTTATCTTTACAAAAGAGAATCTGTCATATGGTGACCAAGACAACAAATCAATCGCTGTAATATGTGAAGTTTTTTGACACGAGCTGTCTGTCAAAAAAAAAACAATATTGACTGGACCGATGGTTAGTTATTTRCAAAAACGACAATCCTCTCCTGGTGCACGTTCAATTTATAGCTGAAATTTTCGGATGGGAAATTCCATTAAGTWTAAGGAAGTCATTAATGCGTGCTTGGTAGTAGAATAACGTAGATATTTTTGATATATTTAACGCCAAACGCCAAGTCTTCTCTCAATTTTCCTAGTACGTGATCTGGGCTATATATGACAAGATTAATAAATAAGATAGTGAAAACAAGATTAATAAAAAAAGCTGTTAAAGCTTCGAAGTGCCGTTTAAATTTTAGACKTGGATGAAGCCAGGGACTGGAAAAAAGACATGATTGGCCGATGCAAGGTTTAAGATATTTCCTTTGAGTTATTCGGGAAAAAACTACATAACCACAGAGAAAAAATAGATGTATTTCTTTACATACAAAAGCTGTTGGGTTTTAAGAGATTAAAGCCGTGATTACTGAACAACGGATGATTTCATTTGAATTAAAGCTGRTGTTATGAGATAGCATTAAAGTAACTAAACTCACAGATTGAAAACGCGTTTACTTTATGCTAAAAACCGTTAAGATTAAAGACTGGGTTCGTCAAGGAGCGCGCGCGCGTCTATTTCCCGCCAAATTAACCACAAATCCCAGAGTGCCGCATGTGTTACAGTAAGCCCAGAGAGTAAGCCGTTCTTGATAAGATTAGCCCGGGGCACTACTAATAACCCGAACTAAAGATAAGTGACTGCTAATTTTTGCGTTTATCAAATATTTATAGCAAACTTTTGTTCTCAGGATAAACCGCACGAAAATGAATTATCCTAATATTTAATAAAAGAAGRAAATCTGCTCAAAATATAAGATAAYRGTTTTGAAACTGGTTATTAGTCCTTATTTAGTGGCTTGCAACGCATTTTTCAGATGGTTTTTCAGGGGGTCATTTTAGCGRCATGGTTTTGAGATAACGACAAGAGCCAGGATATTGGATGCTAACTGATGCAGGTCAAGACTTAATCTTAAATATTTCCGTCTCAAAGAATTAGCCTTGCATTTTCTTAATCCTATAAAGCTTTYGTATCAGATAAACACCAACATATAATGGACGTTTTCGTTGTTTTTGTAGTTTTGTTTCTTCAGATATAAGAGCAAAATGTTGTCGGMCGCAAACATAGGTTTGGCACAAGCTTCCTATCTGGACTCAAATAAACTTCGAATAAGCTAACTGAGTTTGACTTTACAGCGGAATCTAGTGCGGTATGTATGTACTACACACTCGATGAATTAAATTGTTATTAATCGCAGACCCAAAGTTAAAACTAACTCAGTTTTGAACTAGCACTGAGCATGTCCCACAAGAGATGGGAGTATGGTTGTGCCGGGAAGTTATCGACATGGTTACTCCTTACTAATRCAGTGGTACCTCTATTAAAAGCGCACACTAGTTCGGTACCCTATTTTTACTGTTGAGCTTAACATCTATTCTGCAGAATAGGTCCCAAGGCAAGTGTAGAAAGATTTTTTTACTAGCTTAGTATCAAGCTATCTCTGCAATGTTTAAAATTTTTATACCTCTACTAGGTTTGTTCTTGCATTTTGCTTTATACTTATTCTTTATACTTTATACAACTGTTTTTTCCTAGATTTTTTCAGCCTTTATTTGATTAAACAGTATTTCTACTTTAACAGTTTTGCCGGTTTTTTGATCTTCGAATCGAGATTACAAGTTAAAAAACAAGAACGGTCCAAAAACCCAAACACATATGGAAACCAGGCCATTGGATGGCTTTGGGTAACAATAGAATGGCTTTCTCGAAAAATTCTGGTAACATATCGTAACTGAGCTTACATGGTGGCTTTCTACATCTCCAGAACTGAGTTTCAGAAGCTAAAGAATTTCTCACCATGAATGAAAGTATTCCCTCCTAMAGATAAGCCCTTGGAATAAAGACCTAATATCTCAGCCAGATGAACTGAACTGATATACTTGATATACTGCGCAGATTAGCTGAGAACTTAACTTTGCGGTAAGCCTGGACAACACATGGTGGAGTCAACTGCTTCTGTTCTATTGGACCTGTTGGACTTTCATATCTGCGTAGGATTTAACAATGAGGTTTAAATCAAATTGCGAATTTGTAAAATTTTAAAGCAATTTTTAAAAATTCTTTCCTACCTAAGTTCAATATTAGCTGTACGAATCTATGGAGTTTGATAGAGTTCTGAGTCTTGCAGGTGAGATTGCGGGAAAGGTACTTACAAAAGAAATCACGTACATTTTTTCCTCGACTGAGAATTCTTTTSTATTTTGCTGTTAGTCCCATTTCATACGTCACTATGTATCAGCTGCCGCTCCAGTGACGCATGATGGAGCAAGTCCTGTCGAGCATCACGGGTTTGCCGTACCAAATCGAAACTGCTTGACCAAACTGATCTATACGCCGCTCTTTTGCCGTACTTAATTCATCAGTTACGTTCAGCATAACGGGCCTAATTTAGTTGAACATATTATGTTTACCGTTTGAAATAGCGGCCCCTCTAATGGATCCGGAGTAGAACCTAATTGTATTAGGTTCGGCACATGAGTAGAGCGGCGTATGGAACGGGCTATATATCAGCAAAATACATTAAAAAGACAAGAGGAAGAAAGAAAGAAAGAAAAGAAATTCCTTCTCGAATAGTTAAAAGAACTTTACGTTTGGTACATTTGTACAGCAATAAAAAAAATGCTTTTCCTCCAGTCTTTTTAGGCCTAATTAAAACGCTTAACATCAATATAATACGATCGCTAAGAACACAGAAATCGCTAAGTAAACACTCTTTTATACTATCACGAAATGTTAGCAAAAAATCTGACAATTAAGATTTCAGCCATATCGCAAAAAAAATTTTTTCCTTCTGAGGAAATATAAATAATATATCAAAGAAATATTTATTTAAGGGTCGTTCAAACGTTGATTGCGTTTACTTTTTWGATTAGTATGTACAGAAAACATTTATATTTTTGTAAGCTATTTTTTGTATATTGTAGTTTGTTTCTGATTTGAATACAGAAAAGACTGCGGATTATTCACACTGTTCACAGCTTTACGGTAAATCAACTTCGCAAAAACTAGGCCCCGAAGGARCCATAAATCACTATAGAAGCAAAAGGAACAACTGAATAGGCTAGAAGTGATAACACTTTTAAAAAAAGTTATATCCTCTACTGAATTCAACTCACTTGTGTTTGATCGGTAGTCCTTTGGTAGTTCTTAACGGTTCTAATAACTTTGACCCAGCTTTATATAAGCGTAACGAAGTCCTCTACACTGACTCAGAACTTCTTAGACGTAGTGCGCGTGAACAAGGATATACTTGAGAGACATGAATCAAACCGAAGGTTCGCTGTGAATATGCATATATAAATATCGGGAGCCCACTGGCTCGCGGATGTTCAGCAGCGTGGCTCTAGATCAAGATCAAAAGATTCGATTGACACCTAGGACTCATATGTGTCGTTCTATATGTAATAATTATTGAACAGTAGGGCCCTTGCCACCTACTGTAATCACCATTCTATGGCAGTTTTTGGTTTAGTTTACATAAAGCAAGAGTTGTCATTGTTTCAAGRCTTCCTTCCGGGGACTCTTATCGAACGAACTTAATGATAATGAGCCGTATTCCATGAAAAATACGCGAGAAACAAACAACAAAAATGCTAAAAACATCACGTTACATTGCATAATTATACGCTGAAGTCACGTGGTCCCTYGCCTATGTCTATCATGCAGATCATCAAATCAAAGTGCGAATGTGTAATAACATGCACTCAGGCTCTTATACGACAAGCCTTGCCAATAAGGGTCCTTAAGTGGCAAATTTCGAAATAGGAGTTGTTTAAATTTTGAACTGGAAAACTCGTATTTGATGCAGTGCAGTGTGACTTGGATCTGGTCACTAAGTTCAATTAAAAATAAAATGGAAGTTTGAAAATGAAATAGAAATGGAAGGCTTCTTGAAGGACACTTATCGCGAAAACACTCTAACGGGTAGACATTTCACACATAATTTTRATTCGTATTCCACTCCAAGTTTAGATAAAGTGTTTATGATGATTCGTTAATGATGATTATAAATCATCAATTTTCTCTAAAAAGAGGGAGAACGACGGCAGCCAGTTGACTGCCCATCAGTCATGTATGAAATATTTTCACTGGGTAGTCGCCGGTCGACAAAGATCGCGTAGTTCTGATACACAATTCACAAGAGTTTCGCTCATCATTCAGAATTGTATTAAACTAATTGGTCGCTGCTCTGGCCGGCCCGGAAGGGAGAGAACGATTTTAATTTCATGTGCAAACTTTTCATCATCAATTACCACGACTACTGTTTTCAATGCTGTAGAGTAGTGAAAKGTACCAAACGTTTTATTTGATTGACAGTGAGTAGTCTCATGCCTGATATCCTTGTCACGATGAATGCTGTCTCTACTATGATTGCCGAATACATTCCAAATTAATCAAAAAATTGGTATTTTAGACACCTATTTAAACCAGAATCCAAAAATCGACAGCCTTGCAACACATGGCTCGTACTTGCCCTTCTTTAGGATCGCCAATTCACCGGCTGACCTCTGTGAAAAGAGGTAGTAAATTCGAAACATTGGTTGGTAACTAAAGTCTTATCTACACCCAGCCAGGACGAGACGCAACGCCCATCAAGATATAATTAAGTCGATCTTACTTATAAGATGTCGTCAACTTTGCACAAGATGCTTTTTAAAATTGATCGCGTAGGCT